AGAATGATTTCTGAAGGATCATGTGACACTCAAGACTGGAGTAATAATGCTGAAAACTCTTAGTTATTTTTAAAGTTATTTTAATTTACTGGGAATCAAACCTGCAACCTTCAGGTAACAAGTCTGGCTCTAACCATTAGGCCATGACCGTCATAATATTTCACAATATTACTGTTTTTACTGTATTTTCAAATAAAGACAGCTTTGGTGGGTCTTCTTGCACAAACATTAGAAAATCATGCTGACCCCAAATTTCAAATGGCATTTATTTTCTCTTTACCAATTTGAAATAGTACAGCTATTGTGGAGTAGATCACACAGACATCATCACAGAACATTTTTATGATAATAACTGCTGATCTACCCTTAATACAAGGTCAGAGTCAGTATTAATTAGCTCACCTGCAGGATGGGGGCCAAGAAGATAGACACTCCTGTCAGTACAAAGACCAGGATTCCTGTCAGTCTTTGTTCTCTGTAATTGGAAGAGAAGCAATAAGAGTGAGAGAAAGGAGACAATAAAAACTTACTGTGAGTGGAGAACTCAGATATGTACTGCACAGCCATTGTTTTATTGCATTTATTTGTTTAACTATACTGAACAATACCAAAGTGGCAACTTATGATCATATACTTTTACTTGATGTACTTTTTTTGATAGCAAAGTGCCTGATTCACACCGAACACAGTGCATGCATGCATTTATTTCAGCGTTTTCAACTGTATCCATATGATTTATAGCTACAGTTTGAGTTTTGGCATCTGCTCCGTGTAGAGTAAATACGATTCGGATTTAAATGTGGTCCGCCTCCTCATGTAAATTAGATTTTATGACAATCAAGTCTGTAATATGTCTTAATAGCCCACTCTCAATAACCATTTTATAATATATGGCTGTTATTAAAGGAAAGACTTTTGACTCTGTACCGAGCCAGTCAGAAATGATGGCAGCGAGAGACCACAAAGAAGTTGTCTATGTCAATCTCACCTCACACCTAGAAACTGCGGCTGTTCCCCTGGAGCACTAGACTCACTCTCCATCTTCAGTGAGTCGATGTGAGCGATGGAAATGACAGTGGCTGCCACATACCACGGCAGGCCCATAAAAGAGCAGGCTACCATCAGAACGCCCACCCACAATAGATCCAGGTGATACCCACAACCTTTCTGTAGCAAACAGCGAGAGTGTGAGGAAGTCAATAGAAATGAAAAGAACGGGTGATGAAGGATCTGCTCACTGCATGGATACCTTTAACTTATTTTCCTTGCGGTTGACGATGACTGCACTGATCTGCTGATCCATGAAGATGAGGATGGTGACAAGAAGCGCGGGGACGGAGCTTGCCACGTAAACCCACCACGGATTCTTTCCGAATGGCATCACAAACCAACCCCTGCCGGCACGTGTAGGCTACGTGATTTGAAAAGGAAAAAAACAAAACAACACTGAGACAAACTGAAGAAGCTTCTTTATTGAAAAGTCACAAACAAAATCAAGATTTTATTTCCAGTTTTATTCTCCAGTTGAACTTCATTTACGCTTACCTTGAAATCTGTAGGCACAATGAGTTTGGGTGTTTGTAAACCTATTAGCATGTCCAGCCCCACAAACGTCATGATAGACATGAAGATGGAGAAGTCACTAATCAACTTCCTTAGCTAGATAGAAAAAATATATAAATATAGAAAAAGAATGAATAAAACATGTAGCTGCAGCTGCAGAAATAGAGCACAGTGTCATTGAAGAGCTACATATAATATACTGGGCTGCAAACTTGCCACCTTTTGTCAAATTATGACAGTTTTGATTGCAGAAATAAATGTCAAAACAAGATAACTGGAAAGTTTTTATTTACATATTTATTTATTCTTGGCAGGCACATAATCAGGGACTGAGCATCTGACACAAGTGACACAATTTCTGGGAGACTACAGAGAATAACCTCACAAAATTCACTTTCAAACAAAGAAAAAATTGATTGTATACAGTATGTAAGACACCATATACGTGCAATACAGTATCTATGAGGAACAGTCAGTGTTAATACGGTATGATCTTGCTTTATTTTATAATATTTTGTTATTTTGCTTTATTTTGTAATAATTACTACAAAGTTTTGAGAGAGCCAACCAAATATGTCAAGCGACCTGTTAGAGAACATAAAATATGAAA